ACGTAAATATGTGTGTCTTGCTATTTTTTTCTATTTACGATTTTTTTTTATTCAATTTTTTGCTTTATTGACATCATTTTTCACAACAATTGGTATTAGAGTTTTGGTTCGAATATAAGGAAGAACGATGAACGGAGTTTAAGTGATGACATCGGGGATCAAGAAGTTTAATGACACAAATTTTAGTTACTGGAGGATGCAGATAAAGGACTATCTCTATGGAAAGACTTCACCTGTCGTTACTGGGAAATAAGCCAAAAACGATGGACAAAGCGGAATGGAATTTATTGGATTGACAAGTTCTCGGGCTTATTCGATTAACCCCGTTGAGGTTTGTTGCCCACAACGTCATCAAGGAGAGGACTACTGCAGATCTCATGACGGCTTTATCTGGTATGTATGTAAAGTCATCAATGAATAATATGGTGCATCTGATGAAAAAGTTATTTAATTTTAAGATAGAGGAAGTTACATCTGTTGGACAACATCTGAATGATTTCAATAATATCACAAATTAATTGTCGTATGTTGAAATTGACTTTGATGATGAGATACGTGTGCTGATAATGTTAGCTTCATTGTCAAATAGCAGTGAAGCCATAAGAATGACAGTTAGCAGTTCTGCAGGTAACCTAAACTGAAATACGATGATATTCGTGATTTGATTTTGACTAAGGAGGTGAGCAGAAAAGATTTGGACGAGACCTCAGATTCGAGTTCGTCATTGAATGTTGATTCCAAAGGGAGATCACATGATAAGAACTCAAAGAGAAGAATATCAAAATCAAAAGTTTGGTCAGCAGACAACCTGTCGGAATCGTGACAAGGTTGGCCACAAAAAAAAGAATTGCAAAAATCATAAAAAGAAGGTGAATGATAGTGCAAATGTGGTAACTGAAGAAATACAATATGCACTATTGTTGGCAGTTCACAGTTCTGTTGATGACTGAATATTGGATTCAGGGGCTTTGAATATTGAATTTAGGGGCTTCATTTCATACATCTTCCCACCAGGAGCTAATACGAAACTATGTTGCAGGTAACTTTGGGAAGATATATCTGGCTGATGAAAAAGCTTTGGATGTGGTGAGGGTGGGAAACGTTGATATTGCACTCCCTAACAAGAGCAAATAGACTTTGCAAAATGTCAGGCACGTTCCTGAGTTGAAAAAAAAAACCTCATATCTGTTGGGCAGCTCAATGAGGGTGGTCATTCAGCAGTGTTCTCGGATAGTACCTAGAAGGTTATTAAAGGAGCATTCATACTAGCTCGGGGTAAGACAACTGATACACTATATATGACTATAGGTTTACTCAGGCGTGGGCACATGAGCCAAAGATGCATTATGGGGAAGCAAAAGAAAGTCAGTTTCCTAAAAAGTGGCAGAGCGTCAAAGGCTAGAAAACCAGATCTTGTGCGTATAAATGGTGGTGAATTACAGAGTTATCAAGAAATCTTGCAAGATGAAAATTCGAGCAAGTGGGAGCTGACAGAACTTTCACTAAGGAAGAAGGCATTGCACAACATTGCACAACAAGTGCACAACAAGTGTGTGTACCGGGTGAAGACTGTGCTTAATGACAGTAAGAGGTATAAAACTAAACTTGTTGAAAAGAGCTTTCATTAGAGACAAGATTTTGCCCATGCAGTGGGAGTTGTAAGCAGAAACATGAGTAACACAGAAAAGAGCTTGGATGTACAAAGCTATGTTAATGATGATATATCGACTAAGGGTGTTACTCTTAAGAAACTGAAGTTCTGTGCAGCTTCAGTTGTTCTTCTAGCTTGAAGACAGAAGTTTTGAGTTACAGAAGTGAAGGATATCACATTGAATGAAAGCACGACACAACAACTGGGGTGGTGCAGTCAGTATCTCATTCTCCAAGTGGGAGAGTTGTTGAGATATGTGGAGCCCGGTCCACCACACCATTTTTGGGCACTTTTGAATATTAGGAATATAATTGAATTAGCATTTAATTCAATTATTTCCTTGCTACTAATATCCTTCCCATCTCTTTATTTTTTCTCTCTCGGCAGAACCGCGGGAAGCTTTTCGCGTTCCTTAGTTGCCGCCTTGGTGATTTTTTTAAATGGGACTTCAACTTATTATAAATTACAAAGCTAAAAGCCTGCTAGATCATCCCTATCTAATCCCTCTTTGGCGTCAAGCTTACATGAAATAGAAGAAATTATCGCAAGGCTCACGGGAAAGAAGAGAAAGGTTGTTTTTCTTCTTGGATTTTGTCTTCTTCCACATCTTCTTCTCATGTGGCTCAAGAAAGAGTGGAAGAGAGAGAAAGGTAGAGAAAATTGAGTGTTTTCTTGTAAACGTCGAGATGCACGAAGTAATAGAATTCTCTGCAGCTCTGACGACGTAGGCAATTTGCCGAATCACGTAAATATGTGTGTTTCGCTGTTGTTTTCTATTTAAAATTTTTCTCGACCCGATTTTTCACTTTATTGTCATCGTTTTTCACAACAATTAGTATCAAAATTTTTGTTCGGATCTACTGTATATATATATATATATATAAAGTATTCTTTTTTTTTAATCTATGAAAATTTCAATTATATGTTCAATATAAGAAGAAACTATGCTTTGAAAGATAAGTCCATTTTATTTATCAACTTTAGTTCACATCATTTATTATGGATGCAACTTACAATATGAAATGTACTCTTATATAAGGACTAGAAATCGGTTCGTAGTATTTTAATTTTTGAAAATGTTAAGTAAAATAACGAGTCACAAGCCAATTTCGAGCTAGTTTTGAGCTAGAACGGATCCAAATAACTCAATTTGGCCTAGCTCATTTTGATTTCGAGTCAGATCGAGCTCGATTCAATTTCAAGCCAGCTCAACTCGAAATCGAATATAACAAGCAATGAGCCTAAATATATTCGAGTTTGAAATTGAATTGTTATAACCCCTCTTTCTTTTCCGTAGAGTAAAATCATATTCTCGGATTAAAATATAAATAAAAATAGTTAGATAGCATTCCACGGCATTAAAAAACATATAGATTATTCAGCATAGATGTAACCAGCAATGTACCATTCAGTAGATATGGATGCTAAGTATGTAAATATTGACGTTTGGGGGTGTCAAAAATTAAATAATGCGAAAAATTCGATTTTGGGTTGACCTAAATAGTTTTTGGGTTGGGTTCGAATTGAAGATACTAACCTGTATAGCTTTTCGGGTCAAGTTGGGATTATCCAAAAAATAACCCGTCAATCCGAAAATGACTTGAAATCAACCCGCCAACCCGAAAGTGACCTGAAATTGATCTAGTTTTCACCCAATGATTATTTCTTATGATAAACAAATTATATGGAATGTATTTGGGTTTGCAATTTTTGACCTGAATAAATATTCAGAATGGATTCGGTCGGATTTATTGAGGTCAGTCAGTTTCAGGTCGAATCCAAACACGTCCGATGACCAGAATTGACGCCCCCACACTAAATATATAAATATGTTAGAATTGTGTGGTTTTTATGAAAAACTCCCCAATTTTTTATAATTATTTCAAGTATCTTTGGTATTAATTGCTTATGTCCATTTATCCTGTGATCTCATAGCTCCAGCGAACTCTACACACCAGGCCCAAAGAGGGCCCAAACCCAGCCCATAAAGCTTGGTGGGCTAAAATTGTACAAATTATAATTTAAATAAATATTTTAAAGACTTCTAGAACTTTCGGTCAAAACAATTGGGCTTGGTTAAAATATCAAGTGCCGTACACGGAAGATTATTCAGCAAGACCGCTGCGTTATAAGACCGTTTTTCTATGCATTAAAATTCTCTTTCCTATGAAATTTTTATTAGATTTGATAAACTTGTAATTTCTATTTTTTTTATTTAAGAATATAATTAATTGTAATTTTTTTAAATTTAGAGAATAAAAATAAGAGAAGAATGAGGATGAAAGCACAAACAAAATTTGAAGTTGAAGTGATGAATTATGTTTTTGCGCTGCCCGAGATTTTAACTCACATCAGGTGAAATGAAATAATCAGGAATAACACCAGAAGTTTTTATGTTGAAAAAATTATAAATGAAAAATCATGGGGTCTGATCCTATTGGACAAATTCATTATACGTTGATAATTATATAGACATCTTGTCCCAGAGATGGTTACTATATTTTTCAAGTTACAACGTCGATTGACGACTTCTGGTTGGTGGTGATCGACGACGATTGGCGGTGATCGACCAGAGTCAGCGGTGGTCGACAATGGTGCGTGGTAGTTAACGATGACATCAGTACCTGACGACGATTGGTGCTTGTCGACGACGGTCAACGTGTGTCGACGAAGGTTGATGGTGGTCTATGGAGGTTGACGGTGATCGGCGATCGTCAAAGGTTATCGATAGTGGTCGATGAAGGCCGACGATAGACAACAAAGGTCGACGACAGTAGAGTACGGTCGATAGTGATCGACGATGGTCGGTGACAGTCTACGATAGTAAAGATGATGTTAGAATTCAACTCATTCTCAAATATCTAAGTTCTCTCTCAAGACTCAAACCTCTCTCTGAATGAGAGGGATGAGATTTTTTTTTATAATGTTCTAGGTGCAAATGAATCATTTTGATCAGACGGTCCGTAGAGCTTTCTTCGATCAAATGGGGATTGATGGATATTTGGATGTCTTAACGACGTCGAAATTGAGCAATCTTGGGCTTGTTTGCTTGTTGGATTCGACATTCGTCTGATCTTCCAAATATGTCTGAAAAACTTCCAAACTGAAATTCGGGGACATAATTAGTCTTCTTTTAAGGAGAGCAAATTGTCTTCGTAAACCCAATATGGAAGAGACCCTATGTGGGTCCGCCCTCGGATTTGATATTAAGAATTTGAGTGGCACACGCATAAATATGAATGTTTTAAGTGTTAACATGTAAATAAATAAAAATTATATGATATTTTTGTAAAAACCCTTTTCTTATTCCAAACATACTTTCCCATCAATTAAGCAAAATCAAGCACTTTTTAAATTCAGCCGCATTCCAAACCTCCACGCTTCTCATAAATCGCGTTCAAACAAACACCACCATCATCCTCCCCTATTCTTCCCCATCATCTTCCTCCAACCTCCATCATGACCTCTTCTCCTCTCCTCTCCCTCCTCCTCCTCCCCTTCGCGAAAGCCACCATCTTTACCCTCATAAACAACTGCCACCACACCATCTGGCCGGCCGCCGTGCCCGGCGGCGGCCGCGAGCTTGCTCCGGGCGAGAGGTGGAGCTTGGCGAGATCCCCTTCGGCCTGTAATGGCCGCTTCTGGGCGCGCACCAACTGCTCCTTTGATGGGGAGGGGAAGGGAAGGTGTCTCGCCGGAGACTGTAATGGCGCTCTCAGCTGTGACGGAGATGGCTCCCCGCCGGCGACTCTGGTGGAGTATTCTCTGTATCAGTATGGTAATAATGACTTCTATGACGTCTCTCTGGTTGATGGATTCAACGTGCCAGTTGAAATTAGGTGCGTGTGGATTATAATTCCATTCTCTCTCTCTCTCTCTCTCTCTTCCGTTTTGATGAAAAAGGGGGGTTGATTTGTAAATATTAATTGTCTATTTGGGGAGCTGCAGTTTTATTGAATAGTTTGCTGATAATTTGATTAAAAATAATCTCCTGATTATTACAAATTTTACATTTGTAAAAGTCAGATTGCTGCGAGAAAGCTGCTGCCGTATCTATTTAGGTGCGGTGTGAAAACACTAATTTCAGCGTTTTCAAAACGTATAAGTTTTAAAAATGCTGTTTGCCCAAACAGACTAAGTGTGTTTTCCAAAACGCCAACGCACCAAATAAATTGCCCCAAACGGACCCTAAGTTTACAAATTAACAACTCATGAGATTTTTTATGAAATATCGAATTGATGTATTTTGGGGTGTGATAATCAAATTATTGAGAATTTGATAAGAATGAAAGATATGGGTTGGGATTTTACTGTGAAATTTGGTATTTGAGTGAGATTTTGAAAAAAATGAACAAAATAGGGTGGTTGATTTGTAATAATTAAATATACATGTGAGTTTTTTTTTTTTTTTTTTGAATTATGAAACTGATGTATTTATGTGTGATGCGATCAAAAGATTGAAATTTTGATAAAAATGAAAAATATGAGTGGGTATTTTATCATGAATATTGATATTTGAGTGAGAATTTGAAAAAATGATTGAAAGAAAATGTTAGATTTGTAAATAATTAACTTTGGGTGGTTCGTCGCATACATATCACCCGAAATATTGATATCTACAAATTTCATTATTCAATTTATTTTTAATAAACTATCGAATCAATATATTAATGTGTGATTCGATCATATTATGGAAAAATATCATATTAAATTTTGATATTTGAGTGCAAATTTGAAAAAAGAATGATAAAGGATGGTTGATTTGTAAATAGAAAGTTTCGGGTGGTCTGTTACATACATACCACCTGAAACATTAATATTTACAAATTAAATATTTTTAGAAAGTCAATGTGCTTAAACGATGGAGAATTTGATAAAAAATGTAAAATATAGGCTGATTTGAAAAATAAATGAAAGAGAGGTTATATTTGTAAATAGCAAGTTTAGATGGTACAGAGCGAAAACGGACGTCGCATGCGGTGTCCTATCTCCACTATCAATCAACACAAAGATGAATTTCAATGGGTCACACTTCTAATAAAATAATTTCTCGCCTAAACCTTAATATTTACAGATTAACCGCCCATATAATTTTTTTTATTTGAAAAAACTATCTAACATATGCATTTAGGCATGTCACGATCGAGTTATTGAGAATTTGTAAATATGAAAAATATGATGGGTTTTTTTACAATTAATTTAGATATTTGAGTGATAATTTAAAAAAAAAAGGATAATACATGGCAGGTATATACTAGATAATAGAACAAAAATAAGAAAAGTCAAAGTCAAATTAAATAAGTCAAACCACTTTTGAACGTACGCGATTTAAATGGGGTTTGAATACCATGCAATATTAAATGCATCACCTTATCGTCTTATTGCAGGCCAACCACCGCCGACTGCATGGCGGCGCGGTGTACGGCGGACGTCGCCGGCGAGTGTCCGGCAGAGCTGAAGACCGCCGGCGGCTGCATGAGCGCCTGCCAGGTGTACAAAACGAATCAGTATTGCTGTGAGTACGGCAGCTGTGGACCCACAAAATATTCAAGATTGTTTAAGAAGCTCTGTCCTGATGCGTACAGCTATGCTGAAGATGATGCTACCAGCACCTTCACGTGTAAATCCGGAGGAGATTATATCATCACGTTTTGCCCCTCATAATATATGTATATATATATTGTATATATGTATGTATGTATGCATGCATGCATGCATGTATATGGAGTGCATTTTCTGTACGGACTCCTAACGTATCTCTACGTGTGATGGAGATTATTCTCGAGTTATTTTCATGTTATTTATGTGTTATATATATATATTGTATATATATATGTATGTATGCATGCATGCATGCATGCATGTATATGGAGTGCATTTTCTGTACGGACTCCTGACGTATCTCTACGTGCGGCGGAGATTATTCTCGAGTTATTTTTTGGTTATTTTCAATAATCCCGAAATAAACCAGACCCAGAAATAACTCAAAAATAACGACTGTGGGTTATTTCTGGATTATTGAAAATAACCCATAAATGACCTAAAAATAACTCAAGAATAACCTCCGCCGCACGTAGAGCTACGTCAGGAATTCGCACAGAAAAATTAGGCATATATATGAGATCTAGTGTTCAAAATTGCTCATGCATACCTTGCTCATAAAATGTAATTGCTACATAAGCATATACATAATAATTGAGTGGCATCATAACATGCAAATATACTAAAAAGAAAGCATTTTTAAGTCATCATTTCCAATTACTCAAACAAAGTTCCCAAAATAACTTTAAGCAAACCCTAAAATGAGAAGCCAAACAGGAGATAACAATGCCAGATTTGGCAACAAAACAACAGAGCAAAATGAAATAACCATTATCAGTGTGTCTTAGTATTTTGATTCTCTTCAGGACATTATGCGTGCGGACCTGACATAAAGGCTGTCCACAACCTTGCCGATGTTACTAATGGTCTCGAGCGTCGCGGGATAGATCGCATCAGTCTTAGGATCATCAAATATGATGAGGCAGCCAGCACCCTGATCCAGAGTTCCGGCGAACTTGCCAGCACCCTGATCCAGGGTTCCGGCGAACTTCTTGTCAAGAATCATCTGGGAGAGCTTCTTCTCCACATGATCAATGGGAAGCTCGATCAACTCTGCAATGTGAGCAATCTCCACCCTCGAATAAGGCTCAATCAGCCTGCACAGATTCTGCTCCATTAGAGTATCGTAGAGAGACGAAAGGTGCCTGTGAACAATTGGGTCTTCTTCCAACTGTGGCTTGTAATCTCTGAGAGCCGTTTCGAAGAACTTGAGCGATCGCTTCGAGTGAGCATCTGCAACGGCTTTCATGGCATCCAGATCAGGACCGAGATAGTTAAGACCGGCCTTCGAAGAAATTATACCGGCAACATCATCGGCTTGGTTGACCATGATCTTGCAAAGAAGCATGTACTTCAGGCTGAACATAGCTCTAGGATCCTCGAGCGCATTGAAGGCTTCGAAGGCCTCGAAGAAATAGCTGTAGGCAGTCTTGTAGTCTTTCTCCTCCGCATGAAGGATTCCGCTCTGCAAATCGATAGTGCCCTGCTGCGCCAAAGGAACATAAATGGCATTCGCGGCGGTTCTTGCTGCAGTTAACGAGGCTTTTGCCTTTGGAAGATTTTTCAGAGTGAAATGAAGCTTGCTTTCCAGAAGATCAATGTCCACAAGTAAAAGTTTGTCATCCAATCTTCTGACCTCCTTTATCAACCCAGAGAGAAGACTTGGGGCCTCGGAATACTCCTTATTTTCCATCAGGAGAGCGGCGAGCCTAGCTTCGACACGTTGCCTGAGGAATGTGCGCTTCTCGGAACGTGTCCATTCCACCATTTCCTTGCAAAGAGAGATCTGCAAATCACGAGTCCCAGGTATTTTGGCGACCGCATCGATGATCCCCCTCACAATCTTTGCAGTTTTCGCCTTGGGAATCACAGAGAAAAAGGGTCTTAGTTGAGTAAGGAGGCTTCGAAGCTCCTCCGCTTTCTTTTCCTGTGTGAGTAGGTCTGAAAGTTTTGATATAGTCTGTTCTTTGATGCGCAATGCTTCTGAGGAAGATGAAGGATCCTCCAGAATTTGATATAGAAGAGAAATGGATTCATCAGGTTTTACAGCCTCCAAGGCCTGTGCCAGCGAATCAGTGTTGGCTGGAAGATATGATGATTGCATTGGTGATGCCATCTCACCTTTTAATAATAAAGCTGCAATAATAATTAAAAGTTACTAAAAGAAATTAGTAACATTTTCTAAATAATAAAAAGTACTAAAAATAATAAACAGCAGGATGTCTCTTTACAGAAAATTGCATCAGGCATAGTTTTACAGAAAAGATTAGTAAACATTTGCAGGCAACAAATATGTGCATGCTGCAATTACAAAGACTTGTTACATATGGCCGCATATCACATTCACTCCAGGCATGAAATACTTAAAAAACAAAGGTTGAGATCATGAAAATAAGCAACAAAGTTTCGAACACATGTCAAGTGGTTTCACAGCAGAAGTTACAAAATTGTTATTTTTAATGAACCATGGAGCTTCGTTCACTGGTGTGGGGGTGCAGAAACTATTCTAAGAGCCTGTTGTAGTGGCAGAGTAGAGAAACAAACCCTTTCAAGCACACTAGCTTTTAAACAAAACTTATTTATGATGTATTCTTTCCTTAGGCATGCTAAAGCTTCATGCTGTGTCATGTTTCTTATCTTTAGCACATGTCATTAGCATTATTTCTACAACTTTTACCATGCATTATGTATTGTTTACAAGGATTACATATCAGTGCCATTTTCTGCTACATTGCAATATACTGTAACAAATTTGAAAAGTTAGATGCAATTGGACATTTTATAGGCTGAGCATGGGGATCTAATAAGCATTTGGCAATAGGGTATGGTGATATATTTATCTATATTTTTTATTTTTTTTTTTGTGTCCAAAGACAATCTTGGCATCCTTTTCTTGTAAATACACATTCAGTGCATCAAAGCATATTGGCTTGCACAAGTTTCTAAAATTTTTCATCTATATGAAGCTTGATGCTACTGATAATCCAAGCTAAGTGGTTAATTGTAATCATGGTCTATCAACATAATAAGTATTTAGACCAGTGTACATAAGGATATAAGAATATGCAAATATTCATTGCCTTCTGTCTTCCATTTTTATGAGATGGACCTATCTTGTTCTTGATTTTAGGCTGTTGCCCTTTTCAAATTATTCTCTTAATTTGTCATGCCAAATTTTTATCAATGGTTCCTTTTAACTTCTAAAGTATACCTAAAATTGGCTTTACATTCATTCCTTTTTTAACATATCGTGCAAATTGGCAGAAAAATATTTATAGACCAAGATAAATTGAACACTTATTTGCGTGAATTATGCTCACTTCTAATTGGTTCATCAAAACTAGTAAATTAATGAAGTTCGCCATGGTGCTTTTTTAATTTAATCCCAATTTTGAGTGGTAAATCCATTTTATCAGGACACTTGACACAAAAGCCAAAGTTACACTCCTAGACAACTCAGTTAAGCTACTTGCTTATGCATCGAAATTCCTTGCATGTTCTTCGTAAATGCTTAAGTTGATGTGATGTCCTGATGTGACCATTTGATTGAAAAAATTTAAGTTTGGGATAACCCGATTATTATTCACGTCAGATTCAAGTTAAAGTTATAGCCTTGATTATTATTTGGTTCAAGTATACGGTGACTTAAAATTTCTTATAACTTGACCACATTATTATTTGAGCTCGAGATTGGTAGGTTTGGGTCTGATTAATTGGGTTAAATTTGTCATATTTAGGTTAATTAGTCTGTTTTAATTCAAAAATTTGCATGATTCCTTTAACAAATAGGTTAAATGGATCAGGTTCGGCATATTTGGGTTGAGGTGGGCTTTAATAAATACTTTTACCTATATAATAAACGTATAGGATTTGGGTCAAGTATATTATGCTTGGTTGGGTTAAATTTGAGTTAGAATTTAACCCAACTGTTCAACCTAATTAACACCTCTGGGTGACTTCAGTTAAATTCATCCCTTGGAAAATTATTAGTTGTTTTCCATGTAATCAAGAGGGTATAAGCTAGCTAATTTCATTCATTTTATAGCAAACAATTATTAAGCATTGTTATGCAATTTTACTCATTTTCTAAATGTAGTTTAATTTTTTGTAAGGTCGCGGCTCAACCTAAGCCAATAAATAAGGAGAGCTTGACACATCGAACCATTGATGCAAGTCTTGTACTTTTTTCAAACTAGTAAACTTTTAGAGCTTTTTTACTTCAGATTTTCTTTATTTTTGGCCCACTTTTTTTCTTATTCCCTTGTCATCTTGCCATTATGGTATTGGTGTCATCCACAAATACCTTTGGATTTAACATCATTTTATATGCTGCGAGCGCGAGACAATGTCAAGGACAAAAAGTCAAGAATTATAGAAGGTCGGGGAGAGAACAATTCCAATGGAAGAGCAAGGCTTCATCGTCGACACACAAGCTCAATCAAATTGAGGAATGATTTAATAGAATGATCCTAAGTAGTTTTTTAGTATATTTCAAGAACTACTCCATGAGCAGAATTTCCTATTAATGGACCCCCTTACATTCTCTCAGCTGCTGACAACCACAAGCATTGTCATTCCTACGATTGATAAAATTTAATTCCCAACGAGCAATGTAGAAACACCTCTACCATGGAGGTCTGAGAAGCATCAACGTTAGATAAATTTATGTTCTTTTAGTGGAATTGTTGAGGCACAACCTCCAACAATATTCAAAATTCTGCACTTGGCTGGGGGTTGGTATGAGAGGAAGATGAACCCAATAAACCATGCTTCTTATTTTGAGTTTACCATTTCATTATTGAATATCAATGATTTACCGAGGTGTTGATTATTCTTCACTACCTTCAAGGAACGCCACCAATGTGATTCCCTCTTCTTTCGTATGGGCATAACCTCGTTTGATAAATTTATGAGCCAATTTGCCACCCCTTTGCTAATGCATAGAAGCATGTCATGAATTCTAAAGCTTTATGGAAGATGAGCTTGGAGTAGGTTGAGTACTTGGAAAATTTGCTTTGATATTTCAATGGAGATGTTGGAGGTAAATGATTTGGAGCTATCTGTGGCACAACCGTGCTCACTTAAGCTTTGAAATAAGGGCTCTTGAGCCCTTTTAGAATTTACTAAATCCTAAAAACTGAAATCTCATCCGCTGCCATACAGCCCTAAATCCAGGATT